GCCTTTGACCTTGACCTCTGACCTTGAAAATTGACCTGAGGTCAAAAATTTTAGGTTCTTTAGAATCGTCTCGTAAGGACCTTTCGTTTGATATCGCTTTTGTTTCCGTAGCTCCCTTATTTACGGAGTTAGACAGGGGGGGGGGGGCGAAAAACGCCCCCCCCGGGCTGCGGTGGTTGGGATTACCCCCCGGGCCCGGCCGGGTTAAGTTTTGCATTGCTGACCTTGCGTGACGTCCTTTATGACGTCATTAGGGTCATAAGAGTTTTTCATCAATAACTCCCGAGCAAATTGGGCTAACAAGTTGGTAAAGCCAACAATTAACTCAGGAAGACTCGCCGAATTGAATGATATGCGACATGACCTCTTTTGACCAGCTTCGTGACCTGTGGGACTCTGACCTGACCTTGAGCCGAAGTCAACACCTTGACCCTCGCCGGGTCAGGGGGTTGATGCAACCCCCTAAGGTTTTCGCAAATAACCTAAAAACGGCGACGCATAGCGCCGCCAAATTTGGCACGCCCTTTGGGCGGCCTTTTGGAACCTTCCCTGAAAATCTCAGGTCTCTGTCATTTCAGGTCAGGTCACCAGGTCACCAAAACCGGCACAATGTCAGGGTAAAATTGGACTACGATAGCGGCAACGGAATTGCTGAGCTTATCGTTAACAGCGTAAGAACCGAAAGACTTAGGGCCACCATATTTCAGACACAGTTTGGGGCAGCCAGGGATTTAGTGACCTCAGGTCAGGTCACAACGTCACGAAAACCGGTACATGGTCAAAATGGCACTGAAAATATGCTATTTTGTCAATGAAATCTAGAGTTGTTCATCGATTTGATTCAAACTGGCAGGATATGCTAAGATCACCGAGTTGTAGTTAGTTATAACCAACATCCAGGTATTCAATGTTCGGTTGACCTGAGGTCATCTAGAGGTCACGAAAAATTTAAAGCAAATTTGTCTGAATAGCTCCCATCATACAATGTGCTCCATTTCAACGTTTTTGTGTTGTTTAGGTCTATTAAAGATGAATTCAGTGCTTGCTTGCTGAAAAAAGACACTTAGGTCAAGCCATCTGAGGTCAAATGAGGTCAAACTACGTTTTTGCTAATAACTTCTCACACAATAAGGCTAGAGCTTCAAAAATGTTGGAACTGTGTTCCTTGTGATCAGCCGAATCGAATGATATGCGGAATGATGCAATTTGGTTAGCTTGAACTTAATTAGATGATTTAAGTTCACTTAAAAACTACGAAAATTTTAACTAGTAACAACGTAGGGATACCGTTCGATGCGCACTGATGTGCTGAGTTCACTGGTGCTTTTATTTTTGCTCTATCTTAATTTTATCAAAAGTTATAGCCAACAAACTTTTGACCTGTATTAGCGAAATTTTTACATTTATACCCCCTCCCACCCCCCTAAATATTGACCTAGAGCAACCAAATTTGCACAGGGGCGAGATCTTCTAAGGGCCCACTTACACTGTAAATTTGGTGTTTCTAAGTGCCTTAGGAGCCAATCGCAGTGGCGGCGGATTCGATTTTGGCGTGGGGGGGCAAGATCCCAGTCGAGATGATATCATAGGCGGATCCAATAAGGCGTTTTCGACGCTGCAGGGGACATACTCCCCCCCCCCCCAAGTGTCCAAAATCCAAAAACTCCTCGGATTTCGATTCCTTACTGCTGAACAGTATGAAGCAAAACAATTTCTGATAAATACTTTTTAAAGGAAGGTTGGAAATCGAACGTAAAATGAACAGAGGAAATGGTAACAAGTTACCTCATTGAAAAATAGCGCTCGCCTACTTCAAAAGGTTCGGCAACGTTCTTCAAATCTAATTTGCGATCGGGTTATGGGCTATGGCACAATTTTTCCCATTGGAGTTTTTTTTTCTAACACAGCAATACGAAAATCGTTATACCTATCGTCCACTGGCAGATCCAGGGAGCGGGTATATAAAGCAAATATTTACTCCCCCTCCCCTTGCATCGCCCGAAATAGACAAAACGTATACCTTATGTTTCCTAACACAGATAACAGTAGTACTACTGTTATCTGTGTTCCTAATAATAAAACTTTTCTGAGACAGATATCAAATGAAAGTAGCTAACAGCGGGAGTGGTGAAGGAATCCGGTAGACTGGCACGAGAATCCAGAAGCTCTGGGGGGGGGGGGGGCGTTTCTGTATTAGGGCTTTAGGGTGCGCTGAATGCGGTAAGGTCCAAATTATCACACCAAATTTTGCCACGACATCTACCGGTTCAGGCACTCGAGAACACCGTTCCGTGCTTCTATCCTCAGGATACTGAAATCCTTCTCCTCCACACCGCAACCCCCCTCCGGGCTGGACAGGCCACTTTATCTCATGCGGGCTGCTCCCTTGGAGCGGCACCGCTGCTCCCGAGGGAGCGCACCCTGTAGCCGGGTGCAGTGAGTGCCTTGGGGCTGGGTGACCTGTCCTCTGGACGGGTTCAGCCCCGGCGACTCACTAGGGTGCCTGCCCAGACCAATGTCTCCCCCTTTATCCTATCTTCCTCCCGGCTCTGAAATGGTCCCATTGGACCGAAAAGGCCTAACCCAACAAAACAAAGCACTCGAGAACCAGCGGCCAGTGATATCTGCAAAGACGAAGCATTTCCAAACCAGCTTCAGCCTGGTGTCAGGGCGCCTCAGGTGGCTTTAATTACAGTTGCACATACCAAACGACCTCAGTGCAGCCAGTCTGTCGCCGAAACCATTCGGAACATACTTCAACGAAAAGTGAGACAAGGTTAGTGGTATCGTTAAGTGCAATTATAGACTTGGACCCCGTTGGCTTGACCCACTGGAAGGTGGTAGTTATCGGACGCTGCGGGGCATACTCATTTTTCCAAAATGCCTTAGATTTTGCTTTCGTGTTCAATGCTCTATATTCTTTAGCCAGAGGGGGGCCCACTAATGATCAGTGCCCTAACCCTCAAAAGTTTCCAACGTTATTTTTTACTTATTTAATAGTGAATACTGAAATAAAGCGGATACTGAACTGTGAACATCCAGTTTTTACACTGTCCCCACACAAGCCTCCGAATGCCCAAAGCAGATCTCTGATGACTGGCCAGTGGCCTTTGGGTGTCATACCGTGCATTGGTCAATGTGGTCAATGATTACGACCTCGGCGTTTACCATGTTACTTGCACTGGAAACTGTTGCGCTCGAAAAAAAAATCAGGGGAGTGGCTTATTACGAGCGCTCATCAGTCCTAAACTACCCGCAAGCGAATGGCTAGCCTTTCCGTCTCCGCTCGCTTGCGATTTGGCATTCATGTAGGTAGGTACAAAATAGCGGCAGCCGGCAAACGACCATTGAGGGTGTGAGTCGCGTCTCTTGCACACTTAAAATATCTCTAAATCGAATCTGAAAAGACAAAAAATGCTATAAAGCGGAAATAGTTAGCATTTACACATATTCAAAAGGCACCGTTGAACAAACTGTAGGAGCGCATAGCTGCAATATCAGGCTATGGAAAATGGAAATGTTCCTCATGTTTAGGGCACGAATTATGGAGGGGCAAGAATATACGTTTGTCCCTCCTCCAGAAGTTTCTTAGGGAACGATGCCTCCTCTGCCGCTCCGTGTCCGTCGCCCCTGTTAGCGGTCACTGAAGGCCTGGGTTGCCGCTGCGTCACGTTAATTGACGCTTATAATGCCTCCAAAACTAGGTTGAAGAGAGGAAAAGTTCAACTGAACGCGAACACTTGTCATGAAAGGCAACGTATGATAAAGTATATGGGCATCTGGTTACATCTTCAGATGATCGAACAGAACAATCAGGATATATGTTTCTTGTCGAAGTTTTGTCACAAATTATGGGGGGGCAAAAAGATACTTTTGCCCCCCCCACGAATTTGCCAGGGGGGGCAGCTGCCCCCCCTGCCCCCCGAATCCGCCGCCCCTGGCCAATCGCCAGGGGGTCGTTCCCCCCCTGGCGGTCCGTGTTATGAAAAAGGCCCTGGCCTGGCGAGGGCTAAGATGACCTCACCTGAACAAAAGTACATCATTTGACGCGCCTAAGCGAGGCGAACACGATGATGCCAAGATCGCGGCTATGTGGCCATCTTTTGCGAAGCTATTTATAAAAAAGCCCGTGCTTTGAGCCACTTGACCTGACCTCAGGGGTCACCGATTGACCTGAGACCTTTAACTCTTTGGCCGGCGCGTATATGTAGAAAACCAACAGGTCCGGCGAGGGATAATCCACCGACCTGACTGAGCTGCGAAGATCTGTAGCCAGAAACATATAAAACGGATAAAGAAGGCATAAGCAACGTTTTTGCGGGCGGCAGAGCTATTTCCTGTTTCCTTCGCCAGCATGAGTTTCTTCACATTTCGAAGCGGTTCGTTTACCCTTTATGCAAATGCCGATTTGATGTTTCAAAGGGATGAAAATTGCCTGTAATATCCCTTAGCGCCAGCCCATCCTTTTCCCTGATCATGATGCCCTGTCCCCAGTTGACGACCACTCGCCCCGAACATCCGGTGGACGACTAAACCTGCCTCTTGATTATGTTAGCTGCGCCTACATACACCTCAGCAAGTCACTGTAACAGATATATGAATACGGAAGATGAAAATTAAAATGCATTGTTATTTTCTTCGACAGTTACAACACGTAGGTTCGCAATGGCGACCGTTATTCCGTATTCCATTGAATTCCACTATGAGTCAACGCCCCTAGATTTCACATTAGCTGAGATTCTCCGGAACAATCGGTCATGCGAACACCATTATCCAAGAACGCCATGCATGTCGCCGGTACCGGTGGCATTTCCCTATCCCAATGGTATTGTGTAAATAGTCAGCAGTTCCTATTTCGGACGCCGATGCGCGTCTCCAAGTCGACTGCGCGGCGCGTCTGTGGGCGCGTGCAGCACGGGTGTCGGAGCGTTCTGCCAGCGTGGGAGTCGGCCGGCGCCGCCTGGTTGGCTGCCGCTCGGAGGCGGGGCTTATAGCTCGAGCAGTCATACAGCAACTGAGCCGGCCGTCAGCAGCTTAGTTGTCCGCCAGTTCTGCTCGTGATACAGCAGTCCGCTCCTCAGGCTTTGCACCACAGGTGAGCTGCTGTCTGTGTCGGCCGACTCGACTCCCGACGCCACTCGGTGGTAAGGCGCGCCCATGGGTGACTGTGCGCCGGGATTTTGTGTACAACTGTGTGGTAGTCAGTGGTAAAGCACACTTTGTGGAATGTGTGCCGGGATTTTGTGTTCAACCGTGCGATATTTTCAGTGGTAAGATTTAAATTTTCTTACACCAAAACAGCAACGGTCCTTCGTATAAGTTCGAATTTGGCGATATAATTTGAATGCCTTTGATGCATCCCCAGCGATAGCTAATTGCCTGTTACTGCCCTTTAAAGTTTCTTTTGTTGGTCTTATCCCTTTGGGTATGTGGAGATAATTTCAAGGTCTTGGGCTGAGATGGCCAAGTGGGAACGTTGGGCTGTGTCGACCATCGAGCGGTGCGCCGCAGCAGCTCTGAGCGTATCCCGTTGGGATGGAAGTGCCCCGGTGGGGCAGGTCACCTAGCCGCTTAAACGGCCACCCTGGAAGACCATGCTTCTGTGTTGTAACTGCCCTTCCAGTTCAGTTGTCTGAGTACGGTGAGTCTCAGTCATGAAGCAGGGAGTTGAGATCAAGGAGGAAAATTGGTCAGCGCATCTTTCGGTTTTGTTGATCTTACCATGACAGTTCAACCTCATGATATACGGCCTAGCTTACGGCAATACTGCACCGGTCTCGAGTATAAAGACGCTATGGATGCACGTTATTTAGCTTGATTCAAAGACTTCATTTCTGACAACCGGTCACGGGTCATCTGCCTCATGCCATATTCCCGAAATTTAATTCGACAATCAAAGGCGTATGAATGGCCGAGGAGACCCGCTATTGTATCGGCCAAAATATTTTCTTAAAGTAGGTACTCATTCTTCCTTTTAAACAAACTTCAGATACGAAAAGATTTAGCTTGGAGATTGAGCACAACATTGAAAAGAGCTTGTTTTGGGCGAGTTGTAAGCCTCTGAAAGTGAGAAAGTATGTTTATCTGGTCCATCTAAACTTTTACCTATGTGATAGATAAGTGAAAAATTGGTGTGCTAGTTACATCGGTCTGCACTTATGTTTAATTATGTGTAGCGGGGTTAGCTCTTATTCGTCTGACCTGTGCAAGAGGCGCTTTATTCGCATCGAGGAGTATATGGTCCAAATTACCTATTGGCGTTTGTCATCGCTATTGAGAATGTTATCAGGGCAGGCAAAGGATTTATTGACCAGCAAGTCAGTCTATAAAATCAACTTGTCCATTAATACATTAAATGGTGCATTTGAATAATGTGCGCATAGTTAAATACCGATTTAATCCCGATAAAGTTATGATTCGTACAACGAGAGCATTAGTTACGATGCCGAAACCATACCTCGATTCTTTACGGAACCGCTGTAAACGCCAACAATACGCATTAGTATGCTGTGAAGATTTTCATGGGTTTACCCATACCTGCTTACTCGGATGAGACCTAATTTTGCGTTTATTGCAACGAGGAGTAAGTAGCTGCAGCTGATAACAGCAGCAGCTGAACAGCAGCCCCTGTAAGAAATTGAGGTGGAAAAATGAAAAATTTTCTTGTTTGTGGTTTAAACGGAACTAGAGACGGTATGGTTCTGAGGCTTTGGGAACCAATTAAGTTCGATACACGTCTGGATTGTGACCGGTACAATCCGAATCAAAGACAGTGCCGTGTAGGATTTGTTTTATAGGGTATGCATAAAACGATTAGCTGGATCTACATCGCATTGATTAAGGGTTCCTATTCAAAGAATGCGTAGGTATGTTAAATATTAATTTTAGTCATGCTTTTCTGGAGAGCTTGTAGGTTTTCATTTGTAGGTTGATGTGATGTGGTAATTTTTTCTCAGGACCGACTTACGTCTAAATCAGTCGAAATTACTTTCATAGACTGGTTCTCGGCTGTTAAGTACCTAATTTTATTCCCTCGGAATTGTGCCTTACATTTTGTTGCCTCAAACTTAACTCTACATTTTCTTGCCTCAAAGTCTAAAAAAGCTTCATTTTGTTACATTTAATAAGAACGGATTCGTTACACCGAAATATTAGCATATCTTCTTACGCATAAATTGTACATAATGTTCGCTTCAAGCCACCTACGCCTAATATTTGCTTATTCTACCAGAACAAGCCTGAGCGTCTCATTATTCATCTCGTTTCATGACGTCTTGGAGGAGTTCCTTGGGGCCGTCTATGAGCCATTTGAAACAATTGCTCATCAGATGCCGATCCTTGACTTGAGAGCAATGCATCGGCATCTTCCACGTCCCACGCTCGTTACACATCCCATCTGCTGAATTTGCCGGCCATGCTCCATTTGTCCGACCAATGCCGAGCACGTGTGCTGAAACCCTCAACCGGATCCGGTTAATCGATCGAAAGAGGATCTGTAATGCATGAATGTGTTCGAATATTCACCTGATCGTGCGTATCTTATCATATGTAAAGCTTCATTTAAGACAAATAAGCATGACCACCCGAAATGATTACATGGTGGTTCCGCTGTCAAACCATTCGTTCTGACAAAGTCGGCGTATCATGTACCCGCCGTTATGCCATGCGTGACCTAATCAATGGAAATTGCCTTGTGTTCACAGAGACTGAGCAGATCCTCGAGAGCTTTTGGTGGAGGTGCCCTTCGTTTATCAACTCATAACCACCGGACAACTCAGAGCACCGTTACCATCCACCTTCAAGGAAACGAAAAGGACCGCTAACCAAGTAATTACGCATCATCGCCGGGGGTTGGACGACTTATTTAAAGTTTCAATGTTATTCGTCATCTCATTTACGAGTTTCATCGATCTCTTAACGTTTTTGTTTTATCTAGGATAAGAAGGTTGCATAGGTAGCATAGCAGGCATCAATAGAATGTAACTACACCTGCTAAATAATTGGACAGAATGCTTTCAATAGAATTTCAATTAATATTCACAAGCCTATGATTAGATACATGGAATTGATACATAGGCATATGCCACTAGCACAAAATATTAATAAAATAGAATAACTGCAACATTGCAATAACATGCAACATTATGTGCATTGAGTTCAATTGGATCCTGTTAGAACGTACGGCAATTTTGACACTGCACCGAACAGTTAGTCGCCGGTGTTTGATTTCGGGCAAGAGAGCTGGACCATTGCTACCGAGAAACCGACTGACCGGTCAGCGGTAACATGCCCGTCCTCCGGAACGTGATCCTATTTCTGTCTGCCACGCTTCACTGACTTTATCACCAAAAAGCCAACTAGAAGTCAGACTTAAGTCCCAGATAACTGTCCAGAGTCAGAAGGGATGGAGAAGGTGGAATGGCTTAACCGTCTCTCGTTGGAGCCCCAAGCAAACATTTGCATTTTGGTGATGTGCATTTTTTACTCAGAGGACATTCATTAATAAATTTGTTGGCCGCACAGCCCAAACAACTTAAGGACAGAAACCAAATTCTAAGCGCGCCATTTACAAGACGTCAGAAAAACTAGACTAGCAAGTTACGAATCATGATACAAGATGGCGCTGGCATCAAACGCCTGAAGGTATACTGTACCGCAATACCTCCGCAGGAGACCGCTGCTCTGGAGCGCAGGGTGGTCCTACAGGGGTATAAAAGACAGGCCAAAAGTGGCGATTTCGGTTTTTAAAATCTAAATTGGTACAAAGAAGACCTGCCGTTTCTTCACTACCGGCCAATGACAACGTTGTGGCTGAGAGTTAGGGGCAATTTGCCAGTTAATGAATAACAGTACCTACCTTGTACCTAAATAAATTGTCCAGTCCACTTGGTTACAAGACTTTCATTTAAATCGGTCCTCTGTTCCATGATATACTTTCACTGACACATATCTCCACGACCGTAGCGTCGATATTGAACTAAGTGTTACATGCGAGCTAAAACGTACCCATATTCACCTGTTTTTCACTTTCCTGGACCACTGTAACCAAAAACGGCCGTCGACCAGTATCAGACATCATAGTTACCCTCCTGGGCTGTTGCTAGGTCATCTCGATTATCAAGGAGAAAAGTTAGATGCTGGCCACTTGAGGCAATAATCTGGCTTCTACTAACCTCATCTGTATGGATTGTGTGGTCGCCAAACTAGTCAGAAACTAATTTGTTGGATACACATGTACGTGACCGAGTCGGTAGGCGTGTAGTGATTGAAATTCTTACGCACATGACACACAGTGCCGGAAACAGGCCTGTTAGCAACTAACAAGGCAGTTTTAAACTCAGCTGAACGGTCTCACGCAATAATTACGCCGTGCTCTTATCTAAAAGACCTGGAAAGCGATCTGTTTCGGCGGACTCAATGCATTGTAAATAATATAAACTGGGACTTCAGCAATTGTTTCGATGGACATCCATTAGCACGCTGTAACTATTTTTGGTAATGTTCCTTTGGAGGCATTACTCTGACCCGCCTGTCTTCCTAAGAGCCCTGAGGCTCCTGACCCACCCGACCACCATCCCTAACCTCCCAGCCACCAATCCTGGATATCCGGTCTCCCATCCTGACCCATAAGGTCGCTGATTCCAACGCTGCCGCTGCCCCTGACCCGCTCCCCCCAGTTCTGGCTCCTGATCTACCCGGCCGTCGCTGCTTCTGACCGTCCGACCGTCACTATTTCTGACCGCCCGACCCCTGCCCGTCCACAGACCAGTGTGCTCGCACGCCGTCTCGGCTCGAACAGCATGCGCTGCAGCTGGGTGCTGCTGCTCGGGGCAGCCCTGCTGATGATCTGCCTCGGCCGCTGCGCCGCCAAACGGTTCGACTGCGAGAACTTCTGCAAGACGACCCGGTTCAGCGGCGTGATCGGCGGCTGCCGCTGCGGCTTCACACTCTTCACGTCGAAGCGCAGCGGCCACGTGCACATGCGCGCGCCCAGCCCGCCGCTGCCCCTGGCGATGTGAGTGTGAACCGGCCCACAGCGCCAGCTAACAATGTAACCCAATTGCGGGGAAACAGTGTTCAATGTACTTTATGTCATATTAATGTATTTTGGATATCCTCACATTGAAAAATAGAACGAGGTTAGCTTACATAGCTAACTTACGAGAGTAGAGAGAGAGTGTGATTAAAATGTGTGGCAGAGAGACGCCCTTGGGCAACTTGTCGCTGTGAAACATGGCGTGGTGGCCATGCTTGCTTTCGTGGCTGGAGGATATACAATGGAGCGTTGTTCGGCAGATCGGAGCAGGGAGAGCGGCTAATGGAGCTGCCGCGGCACGCCGCCGTCCGAGAGGGCGACCTGAACGTGCTGATGCCCTACCTGTTCTTCCGGGACGTGCGCAATAGAGGACAGAAGGAGGTCATGGAGGACACCGACTTTCACGGAAAGAACGACCTTGTCTTCGGTAACATGTACCAATGATCAGGCCCCACGGCCGCTGCCTTCTCTACCTGAGTAAATTGATACACAAATAATCATGTGAAGTTCAGTTTGGGCATCTTTGCGCTCGGCTGCTTCACATTGTTGACATTTAAGGCTGAACTTCGGCTTGATTTGTTACGAGACATATATGAATCTTACGATCGAAGTGTTTTTGTTATATAAACATAAAACGGCATCTGTTTATTATTGACCAGTATTTATTCCCATGCGAATATGTTAATTGTGCATGTCAACCCATTCAAGAACTTGCCCATAAGGTACTTTTTGTTTGTATTGGCGAATAATACTCATTGTGCGCGTAATGTGGAAGTCATGCGCAGAGTGCGGCCGTCCTGTGGTGTTTTGTGACCGCAGGCCCGTTGCAGAGACAGCTCCCCCATTATTCGATCCAATAACGGACGGTGCAGGTGCGAGTGTGATGTTATAATTTGTCACTCGGCTATATCGTGCATGCATGGGAGGAGCCTTTGTTTTATAACACGAGCTCGCAATGAGATGGAGGTCGAGCGTTGTGAGACAGTGACCGTGTCAGATAGTCGCAGCCCGCTGGCAACGATGTAAATCACTTCCCAAACACTGGAGACGGATCTGTTACCCGTCATCAAAATCACTACGAGGCTGGACAACACTAATCGACTGGGCGGTAAAAAGTCTGTTTGATTTGGCACGTTGCCAGCAGTGCTTTGCGACGCAACTGGGCGGCTCTGGTGAGGCTCGATGTGCGAACCACCCGAGAACGAGACGGCTGGACGGTGACTCGGTGGCGAGTCGGCCCCTGTCGGCGCGGGGCGTGGCTCCCCCTGCCAATGTTCCTGGGACGCCGCGCCCGGCGGCCGGACCGCGCCGGCGCACCACCGATACGTGACGAGTGCAATAGCCAACTCCGATTGTTGGGAAATATATATAAACCGGGATTTACGACCTGTGTCTTGCTGAATAAATGAATGCGCGAAAGATATGTTTTAACAAGGCTTCAACGGACGGGCGTTGAAGACATTGGACACATAGTTTTGTCAAATATATTTACTTTTAGTTTTTAGTTGTTTTCATTTTATAAAGAATCGATGCTCATTGATTTAGATCATCCGAGTCATCTTGACTACGGGTAACGATGACGCTTTGCTTCCTCGCGACTATAGCGGCGACATCTCACAAGTCACATGGTCGAGCGACAGTAGCAATGGAAGCAGCCTTCGAACCCGGAACAGGAATATTTTCCGCATTTCCAATACCATCTATGACAATGCCAATAATCAAATAATTCCGTGGAATGATATAGTTCCCTCGCTGGGAAGGATCGACCATGTATCTCCGCTCCATTTGAACTCCAAGTAAATATGAAAGTAGGCAAACACAGCGGTGCACCATAATGGGCAGCGAGCTGGTCTGCAACGAGAATCACCAGTAACTGCACTGCACCATTGCGAAAGTAGGAGGCAATCATCTTGGAAAGCAGTAACGCCGTCTACTCATCAGCAAGTGACGCCTTCGTTGTCACTGCCGAAGAGACAAATGCCCACAATGCACGTGTCCAATGCATACATAGCCACACAGTCGATACAGAGCCGTTCATTGGCGGTGCAAGGTGCCAACGTACTCGTAAGTCACAGCGAACGAGCGACCATCTTCCAACGCAGCAATCGATACCAAGTAGAGGGATATTTGTGCACTTCATCTACGCCTCGGATAGCCGGCATGCACGTCCATTTTCCGTGTCCCAGTCCCAATCAACTCACGGAATGCAGATACCGCCTTAGGGTTTTCCCCGCCGACGTGACAGGCACGCGACTATAATTAAAACTGTTCTCAGCTAGCAACCAAAACCGATCCACATAACTTCCACCAAAAGCGTCGCAAGCAACATCGGCCGGCTTTTATGCCTTTAATGAAGAGTCACACATGAGCAATAGGTACTCTGCGCTATCGATGAGGGGCGGGCCCAGCGGCGCAGGCCGTTAGGGTGTTTTCCTCCCAGGACACGCACAAACCATCCTCTCGGAGCCACACCACCAGTCTCGGACAAAAACCAGCCGCGGGCGTCTGAGAGGCGGCCGCTAACCGGTACAAATCACCTGTCCCGCCATCAAATGGCTCGGCGAGAGGAGAGCAAAACAGCCGCCGTCCCGTCGACACACCAGCCGAATAAAACATAACGCGACCCTGTAAAGGACATAAGGAGCTATAGTTTTTAAACGCTCCCGTAATATTCAGCGCTTTTTTGTTCTTTAAAACGTGCAAGGTTGACATAAGTGCTTTCAACTTCGCTCTTTGGAGACGTAGATGCTTGCTTGCTGTCCCCGAGGTCATTCATTTGTCAGGAATGTAATGTCCTCGTATTGAGAAAAAAATTAAGTTCGCAATAACAAGTGATCGATTTCTCACTAAATGAAAGGTAAGCAAATCTTCGGATAATCATTGGAGGTTTTGAATAAATAGATAGCTCTGATCACTAATGGGATCAAACAACAGTAACGTCGTAAAGAAGTTGTTCGATCACATACTTATTCTAAACTCTATCAAAAATGGTCGATAATTGTCTTCAGCACAAACGAAGGGATAAACCAGCCGAGCCTGTAGTGAGTTTAGGCATCATATTGCTCTTGGGATCGTGGGCATCACTGTAAATCAGGAACCCCAAAATGTCGTGTGTCGGCAGCACAACCAGAGAGCAGCCGCTGCTTAGATGACGGCCATTTAATAGAGCAATGTCAGTCAAAAGCTCAATTCACATAGTTTATGTACGATAAAAACAAACAGGAATCGATTTGGAAGCCATCACCCACGGGCAGACAGTTCAGACACACGAAATACCGGTTCTTCTTCTCAATGAGTGCTAAAAAGAGACACTGAGTCTATCAAATAGAATGAAATGGGTGAAATAAACCGTTTGATCGCATACGCTCCCTCATTCAGGGAGTTTAAAAATAGACGAATCTTTCGATGCTTCAGTATTCAGAGGAGCTGAACCATTGTCAGCTAAAGAATCAGTCAATGAAGGCTACCATTCACCATTCACCATCAGATCATGTGCTTGCTTTTGATGGGAGTGGGGATATGAATTATGACTAGTAGGGAACTATCTGATGACCGGAACTGTTCATTTAACGTGCGAGACATTGGAGCGAGTGATTCACATCCGAGTCAGTCGCCGGGAGACTAGAGCATTGCTCTAAATCATCAGCGTTAGTGCTTTGTATCAACGCCCCCCATTTGAACACAACTTGAACGTCAGCTGTAAGAACACTAATACAGGCTCTTTACGGATTTCAACGTTTTATACGTTCGCAAATAATATGCGCAGTATACAATATGCATACAATTAGCGTTAACACTAAAGCATTGTGACTACACTGGAGCAGCGGAAAGTAACAAGGAAATCCCGAGCATCCGGAATAAGGTCGGTACAGCTCTCAGCGAAGTTAGTCAGCCGCGTCTACCTGTAGGTACTAGGTATGCTCGCCGCGCTGGCAGACAGTGCAGCACAGTACACTTTCTCATACGTTTACATAGAGATCAAGCCAGTTCGGCCCACCGACAATGCGTTAGAGCATTAGCATATGCCCTCACAGGCGTTCACAGTCCGTATCAAGGCCAGCCAGCCCGCCGCGCCCGCCGGCATTGCGGTACAGTATACAGGGCCTCCTCTAAGGATTTTTCACTGGGTGGGCAGAATTTTCGCCACTTCCCTGCCCAAGGGCGAATCCAGCCACTGTTTTGGGGTTCAACCAATTTCAAAACCTGTTACGGGGGGGGGGCGGGGGTGAGGCGAAATAAGCAGCGCCGTTATTGGAAATAAGATGATAGTTTGCAAAGTTAACGTTTGTCGTATGTTTTATGGTTAGAGCGATTCGTTCCAGAGTTACATGTACAGCCCTCCGCAAACTGCGTGGTAGGTATTCTTATTCGGTATTCTTGCTATTTTGACAATATACCAGTTTTTGTGACTTGTGACCTGGCCTCGGGTCACTGGAACCTAAAACTCCAAGGCCAAGTGACAAACAGATGCTCCAAGTCGTGTCTTAAATTTGGTAGCGCTACGTGCTATAGAACTCACGCTATCAACGAAAAACTCTGGCATTCGGTTGCCGCTAAACTAGTCCAATTTTCCCCTGACCTTGTACGGGGTTTGTGACCTGGTGACCTGACCTGAAAAGACTAGAGATCTGAAATTTTCAGGACAAGTGCCAAAAGGTTGCCTCAGAGGGTATGTCAAATTTGAGCGCCGCCGTTTTTACGTTATTTGTGAAAAACCTTAGGGGGTGCATCAACCCCCTCACCGGGCGAGGGCTAACTAACATAATACATTGTAGTAAAGGCTACCGAACCGGTAATGATTCTTGCTTATTTGTTTAGCTCAGCCGTATTTAGAGATTTAGCTGGCTTTGTCCATGAATAACAATATCGGCAGGGGCGTAGCCAAGGGGGAGGGGCCACGGGGGCAATGGCCCCCTCCCTTGAGCGCAAAACGCGCCATGGGGGAGCCCCTCAGGCCCCGGGATATTTTTTTCAAACACTGGATAAAACGTCTTTTACTCGGAAGAAAATTGATATCGAAATTTCATTTCTGTGGCCCTCTGATGACCCAATGGGCCCCTGCACTCATCCGATGACCCCCGGTTTCCTGGGACCCCTGGTCGCCTAGAGGGCCCGGTCGCTTGGGGGCTAGTCGCATGGGGGCCCCTGCCCCCTGGTCGCCTGGGGGCCTGGTCGCCTGGCCCCTGCCCCCTGGTCGCCTGGAAGAACGCTTGTCACTTGCAGTGGAATAGCCAAGGAGGGGGCCAAAGGGACCATGCCCCCTGGAAGCCAGGGGTCCTTATTCTATAGGGGCCCCTGGCTGACACAGTGGGCCCTTGGCGACGCAAAGGCCCCTGCGGCAGATCCTTTGACACAGCTGAGTAGTTATACTTTGGCCAAGAGAGCCCCAAATTTTAGAGCCTTGGGGCCCTATTGAAACCAGGGGGTCAGTTGGATGGGATGGGTCCAACTTGGATCCAACGGTGTGTAAACAGAATCAATGCGTTCCGACTGTTGGTCTGACCCTATATCGGTTTGAGGGAGCTCGGATCGGATCCACTGTCGATCTGAGGGGTCCCTATCGGTTTGAGGAAGCCCTCAAATGCCCTGAACGGGTCCTTAGTTTGTCTGAGAAGGCCCTCCGTCGGCATTACTGGGCCTCTGCAAGTGCAAGGAGGGCTTTTGTCGGTCTTAGTGGCCCTTAGGCGGCTTATATGACCCTCAGACGGCTTACGAGGCTCTCATGCGCTGTAGGGGCCTGTGACGGTCTGAAGAACCCTCATCCGACCTACGGGCCCTCAGACCGCCCTCAAAACCGACTGGCGACTCTATGAAGCTATTTGTGGGCCTATCTAACAGGGCCCATGGACTGCTTACCCCCTGAGTTATAATATTTTTTTGTTAATAAATATTTTCTATTTATTTGGGCCCCCTCCAAAAAATATTGGATCCAACCAGATGGCTTTTTGGATTTTGAGGGGGTTATTTTGGGCCCCTGTGCGTTTAGCCCCCTCCTTGAGGAAATTCTGACTACGCCCCTGAATATCGGGCAACCAGAAAACTTTTTTGTTTGTTTTGTTGGGTTAGGCCCTTTCGGTCGACAAGACCATTGCAGAGCCGGAAGGATGATAGGATTTAGGGGGAGACATTGGTCTGGGCAGGCACCCTAGTGAGTCGCCGGGGCTGAGCCCGTCCAGAGGACAGGCCACCCAGCCCCAAGGCACTCACTGCACCCGGCTACGGGGTGCGCTCCCTCGGGAGCAGCGGTGCCGCTCCAAGGGAGCAGCCCGCATGAGATAAAGATGCCTGGCCCGGAAGGGGGTTGTGGCGTGGAGGAGAAGGATTTCAGTATCCTGAGGATAGAAGCACGGATAGGTGAAGAAAACTTTTTTTGACCTTCAAACAGCATCCAGTTTGCTTAAGACCAGAAAGGTAGTACCGGTCGTCCGGCCGGACCAGAATTTT